CACTCTCTCTCTCTACATAGATAGATATAGAGATAGATATACATAGAGATATAGATATAGATATAGATATCTAGATATAGATATAGATATAGATATAGATATAGATATAGATATCTATACTAATAAAAGACTAAGTGGCCCTTGTGCCCTGGCGCGATGCCCTCACTTTATCACAATATGGCAACCCCAATGTCACAAGATGGCCACCCCATTTAGTCACAAGGAGTCCATCACAACATGGCCCCCCCACATCATCACAAGATGTCTGCCACAAAATGGCCACCACAAAGATGACTGCCACAAGATTGCTGGCAGGAGATGGTACTTAGGGAGGATCAGGCCATCAGGGGAGCAGTTAAGCATCAATCAGTTTGGCAGGGGAGCGGTTAGGGGGCAATCAGGCAGGCAAATGGTTAGGAGCCAGCAGTCCCAGAATGTGAGAGGGATGTCCGACTACAGGACATTCCTGTGGGATAGGGCCTAAACCAGCGGTCAAACTTCCCCTGGGGTTTCCCAGATTGGAGAGGGTGCAGGCTGGGCTTAGGGACCCCTCCCTAATGCCTGAATTTTGTGCACCAGGCCTTTAGTAGATATACATATAGATGATATAGATATAGATATAGATAAAGATGCATACATAAATATAGATACATATATAGATATAGATACATGTATGGATATAGATACATATATAGATACAGATACAGAAACATATGTAGATATAGTTCTTCCTTTTTTAATCACCCATTGAGGATATTTTCATTTATTATTAGAGGGAAAGGAAAGAAGAGAGAGAGAAACATCAATGATGAGAGATAATCATTGTATGACTGCATCCTGCATGGAGATGTTGTCAGCAACCTGAACATGTGCCCTGACCAAGAATCAAACAGTGACCTCCTGGTTCATAGGTTGATGCTCAACCACTGAGCCATACTGCCTAGGCTGTTTCTGCACTGTTAGGATTCACAGAGTTCCCTGTGTACCTGGGCTCTGGTCAGCAGGACTTTGGCAACATTATAGATGACCAGGGCCCAGCCCTTCCCCCATTTCCCTCTGACATCAATGGTTATGGGCCTGTCCACCATGATGCTCTCAAGCTCAGGGGGCCCTGGAGGTTCCCTCACCAAAGGTGTGAGCTGTTGGAAGTGCTCCTAGATCAGTGCTCAGCTGTGTCTCCACTTGACACAAGAGGGACCTGCACAGACTGATATCATATGTGGGCAATGCATGTGGATTCAGCAGGGCAGCAGAGGTCGCTTCATGCCACCTGAGTGGCCCTGGCCCTGTCGTCTCAGGGAGGGCCTGGCATAGGTGATGGGCATGAGGGTATGATGTGAGAAGCTGGCAGGCAGAAGCAGTTAGGGGCAATCAGGCAGGCAGGCAGGTGGGCAAGTGGTTAGGAGGCAGCAGTCCTGGATTGTGAGGGGTTTCATTTAAGGTAAAACCTACCACAGTGGGAAGGAGAGGGCAGACAGATCCACATGAGATGTCATGTGCAGGCCCCATGGGGTGAGGGTGTGGGTGGCGGAGAACAGAGTGTGAGGATGGGGTGGTGTCTGTGGAGCTAGAGGCACAGCAGAGGTGGATGGGACCATGTCTCCCTTCAGCAGGTTCTCAGGATCCAGGTGGATTCTCCATGGGAAGCGGGACAGGTGTTGGGACATGTCTCCTGAGACCAGGTTCTGGGACCCATTGGGAACATGACCAGCAGGGCTGTGACAGGACCCATCACTGGGCCTCCATACAGCCTTTGTCCCGGGACATCCTGAGAGCTGGGTCCATCTCCCAGGCTCACAAGGGGCAGTGCCCACAGGGGTCAGACCCTACACCTCCATGTGAAGCCATGTCAGTGAGAGGAAAGCAGCTAACTGACCCCAAAGAGCTCACCCTGGGGCAAAGCAAGGGGTTGATCACCCTCACCTGAGGTTTGGGCCTGGACTCCATGTTCCCTGCTCAGCACTGTGTGGAGGGCGGGGGATGTCGCTCTCATTGGGGGGAGGGGAATCCCTACAATGTTTTCCTTGTCAACCCAAAGAGCAACCATCAGGAACATGGTGACAGGAAGGATACAGATGAGAAGTCAACCAGATCTGAAACACAGCCACGTCCTGCTTTTTCCTGCAGAGAATCTAATTAAAGACACAAAGAAGGAAGAGGAATTGCCCCAGGGACACCAGGAGGGAAGAAAGCATTGACCCCAATAGGAAGCCTGCACAACCCTCCAGGGAAAGCCTCTGAGCTGGGACCTGGGTTTGCTGGTCCAGAGCGCCCCCTGGTGTCCTGGACGCTCCCTGCAGCCCAGCCCTGCTGTCTCCTCAGGGAGGTTAGTGTCTGGGCTCACACTGACTTCCCCTCACTGTGTCTCTTGCACAGTAATACACGGCCGTGTCCTCGGCTCTCAGGCTGCTCATTTGCAGATACAGCGTGTTCTTGGTGTTGTCTCTGGAGATGGTGAAGCGGCCCTTCACAGAGGCGGCGTAGTATTTGCTACCACCATTCCAATTAATCAATGAGACCCACTCCAGCCCCTTTCCTGGAGCCTGGCGGACCCAGTACATGGCATAGTCATCAAAGGTGAATCCAGAGGCTGCACAGGAGAGTCTCAGCGACCCCCCAGGCTGCACCAGGCCTCCCCCAGACTCCACCAGCTGCTCCTCACTCTGGACACCTGCAAACACAGAGACACAAGGTGGACTGAGAATCACATGGAAGCACCAACAGGCACAGGCACAGGTCTCAGCGCTCCCCACTCCTGAGAACGACCTTGAGAAATGATCAGGAGGAAAACACAGCTTGGCACCAAGTCCATGGTGGAGCCGCTGCGGTTCTGTCTCAGGCGCTTGGGTTCTGGGTGTCTCCCCAACGTGCTGGGCAAGGGCCCCCTTTTATGAGCAGGAGGAGAGCCCTATTTGCATGGAGTCTGCATATAAGGTGCAGCTGTGACCCTGGGCTGCATGCCTGCCCTTGTCATCCTAGGGGCGGCCCCAGATGGGAAAGGACTCAAGGATGTTGGCCACAGGCGGTCCTGTCCTGAGCCCCCTCCCTCCCTCGTACTCTGGGACCCATCACCCTGCACCCATTCCTTTCAGGGCAGTTTCCAGGACTGAGCGTCCTCCTTCCTTGGGGTTTTGATGAGGACCCAGGGGTTCTCCCCCAGAGGTGTGTGGATGGGGCTTCCCCTCGCTCTCCTTCACCCGCCGTTGGCCATGTTGCCTTTCTG